GGCACAATTAGATTTCGATTAGGCGTTTCAGCTCTCAGTTTTTTTTTAAATTATACCGTTTCCAATTTTCTTCATGTTACGCTTAAATAATATAAATGAGTTACATTATGTTGTTCCTCGTTCGATGAGTTGGAAATTAACTATATGAAGTTAGGCAGTTGTAGAGAATCAATTTTCAAAAGAATATCCAAAAGAACCTTTTGTCCAAAAAGCAATAAAAAATTTAATGGTTTTAATGGATTCATCATATTTTGGACTTTTGTTATCTTTTTTGAAAAGTGCAGTTGTTTACTATAGGGGGGAATCAGGGAGGAAAGAGTGAACAGTATTCAAGAGCAGATTTAGGGATCTGTCTAAGGGGGGGGGGGGGGGGGCGGGAGAGGTGACCACAGCATTCATGTTCAGGAAGATGCTCATCTCCCTCCGGGCGATTCTGCATCTGGCAGGTGTGGCAGGCTTGGAGGTCTAGGAGGGGAAGCTCGCCCCCTCTAAATCTGACATTAACAGTATTGTTTATAGTAAGGAACCTAGAGAAAAAATAGTTTTATTATGTTCATAGCTGTGTTATATATAGTAACTAATATTATTCTATTATAGAGTAAAAAGGCCTTATTGGATATAGAAAAATATTTGATGATTTTCACCTTTGTCCTCTTTACCTTTATTATCTACGCCACTACTCATTGAAAATATCGCCTTCTCTGTCAGTTTCTGTAACAATTTAACCAAGTTAATACAATTATGCATAATATTGTATAATATAGTTCAAACGAGATTCAGCACAGTCAAAGATCGCTATTGACCAAACTCATAATCTCACACACATCCACTTGAATATACTCGAACTATATAGTGCGTTGCGTTCGCAGCTACGGCAGACTTGCAATGTGTCAGGCACAATGTAAATACCATTAAAACTGCCTGGTACTGGGATAACATCTTTTGATAGTCCCCCAAGTAACATATGAATATCAGCTTTTATACTATGACGAAAGTTTAATTTTATAATTTGTTAAAGTTTCTGAGTGTCTGGCAGGGAGTTGAAACTGTACTAACTATCTGGAAATTGATGACGCCATCTCTGATACCATTCTGAAAGATATATAAAAAAACTGGGCTCTATGCTTTAACGAATTTGATATACTATTTTAGACACCTTTATTACCTGCCAAAGTAACCACCATCCAAATTCCATAGTCGCTGATTGTTTTTACCTCTGTAGGGGACATGCGCAGAGAAACTTTCAGGTCCTATGAAATAAAGAAGGTCTGACCGTCGCGGGCTCTTACTCTATGAAATACAGTCTCGGACTTGGGAATTTTACATAAGTTAAAAGAGAAATATATTGACATCTGTTTATGTGAGAATTTGCCATGTTCGATCTCAACCATTTTGAAATTGTAACTCACATACCTGACATGAATTGCAACTTTTATGCACCAGAATATGTGGAATGCAGTCTGCAAATTGCAGAGTCGATACATCATAAGGTAGAAGAGAAAATGTCGAAAAGGTCTATAATGTGTAAGGTTGAGTCTGAATTGATAAATGTAGATAACAATAGAAGAGATAATATTAATATCTGTTTCTTTGGAACTCTTTCATGTTCGGTCTAGCCTATTTTCATGTACGGATTTTTGTAGCTTAGATAAATGACTTGTGCTGCAACTTCTGTGCACGGGAATTTGTGAGATGAGGTCTTCCACTCGAGAAATGTAGATAAGATATAAGAGAAAATTTGACAATTAATTTGGTTTTTCTTCATAGCTGCCACACAGATTTCGAACCCAGGTCGAATCGACTAACGCACTTTTCACACGATCCAGCGTCCACCATACGGCGTGCACCTGATGCGGCGTTGGGCTATGGAAGTAGATGAGTCTTTTCGCAATATGGAGCGCGCGCCGTATGGCGCAAATGCCGCGCGGCGAGCAAATTCCGCCAGACTGCCCTACGCCGCACGGCCCAGGGCTCTACACTGTCCGGCACTCAAAATGTCATGAATTCGGTTTGGAAAATGATTTTTATTTATTCGAAAGTACAGAATGTATGAAAATATTCGAATATGCAGAAATGATTCACTTTGGCTCAATATGACCACCTTTTGCCTAGCATTGTGATGGTCCAAAACGAATCAGAAGCTGCTTGTACTTGACGATATTTTTGCCCACTAACGGACAATGGCTTTATTCAGTGTCTCGAGGCTGCTGTATTTCTTAGCTCGAACATTGCTATCCAAAATGGTCCAGATAGAATAATATATTGGATTCGCTTGGGGTGAATTCGGGAGCCATTGCGTGGCCGGAATAATGTTCTGAACATTGTCTTTCTTCCATTCTTGGTTCATCCCTGCCGTGTGAGACGGTGCCTAGTCTTGTTGAAATGTCCATGGCCTGCGGCCGAAATGCTTGTCTGCCCACAGCTTCAAAGCAGCCCACAGAACACTTTCCCGAAAGTGTGTCGCATTTAGTTCATCAAATGAATTGATTGACATTCTTAAGTTGCACCTTCTGTGCACAAGAATCTGAGTGACGCTGTCTCCGAAATGAAAAATGTAGGTGACTATAAAAGAGAAAATATCGAAACTTTGTATGACTTTAGTAATCCATTATCATATTAACACAGGAATATTTAAATTCACCGACTTTTGGTTCTCAGAATGTTGATATATAAACCTAGCTGACATTTGTGTGTATCATATTCTGTGAGATAGTTAACGACATGAAGGACGAAAAGAACTTTTTCTGGACAACGCTGGTCGGTATGTAGTCTTACCGAGTTTTGGTACACTGAGTGGCGCAACTATATGGATCATTTTAGTTACCACTTTTGGGTACCACATTCTGTGAGGCACAGTCTTTGAATTATGAAATATAGATGATACTAAATAGTTACAAATATGTTTCTTCTGTGATCTTCCATTGCTGTTATACCTAGTCCAACCGACTCTTCCATTTCAGAATGTTGTAACTAGGTATTTGACTTGTTTAAACTTTCTGCATAGTAGAAGCTGTGAGATACAGTCTTCAAACCAGAGGAGAACAAAGTTAAATTGCTAGAAAGAAAACATTTGGCGCATGATATCCAGCTTCACCGACCCAGGATTGTGCAACTACATGAATAATCCTAGTTACCACTTTGGGGAACCACATTCTGTGAGGCACAGAGACAGATAAAACTATATATGAGGAAGTATTAGAATATAGATTGACGTTCATCTGTTCAGTCTCACTGATTTTGACACCGAGAACGCTGTCACTGGATGTATGATCTGTTACAGCTTCTTGGTACCATACTCCGTGAGACACAGTCTTCGAACCCAAGCAATGGAATGCCGCTATAGAGAATTGCTTTTCTGGACAACGATTATCACACCAGCTTATGATACCCAGTGTGACTGATTGTAGGCACACAGTGTGGTGCAACTTCATGTACAATTTTAGTTGCATATTCTATGCATCACAATCTGTGAGACAGTCTTCGGGTTGGGAAGTGTAGACAACGATACAAGAGGAAATACCGAAAAGGTACTTTTATTGTAATATTTTATCGTTGTTATACAAACATGAATGTTTAGGCTAGCCAACTTTGGTAGAGGTGTTGGATCTAGATGCATGTTATGCCTACAGTTGCAACTTATGTGCATCAAAATTTTAGTGACACAGTCTCCGAACTGTACATCGTTAGAAGTTTCACCGACTTTAGGATGGATACAGGATGCAATTAGGTGTACAATTCAGTCCACTGTGAACATTTGTGTGAAAAACGAACAGAAAATGGAAACAGCGTTAGAAACAAAGAGCCTGTTTGTTGTCAATTTGTTTGTCTGAAACGTGAAAAAATAATGTTTGAGCGATTAATTTTTTTTTCTTTTCGGTCTCTGCCAGCGGACCGATTTTCAAAACTAGCCTTTGCGTCCTTGATATTGTAGCAACATTGACTTAAAATAAAAAACCGAGCGGTACTTTTCAAGCTATAGGCGGTTACAAGACTAGCCCACAGACAGACCGACGAAAATGAACGAAATGGTTTTATATGGTGATATACATGTCATACGACTATAATGTCCAAAATACATAATATGTCCTTTTAGGTTAGATTGGTGCTTGCAAAGCGATCAGCAGATTGGCAGGCCTCACTGTGTGGGCTCAAAAATACAGATTTTTTCAGAAAAAAAAAATCATGAAGGACTAAACTGAAGATAAAATAAGAATGAAAAAGCAGTAAAGTTATTGACAGAAGTGTAAAGCAGATGGACCTTTCTGATGAGCACTGTGTAATCGACCATCCTGAAGTAAATACATTTACAGTATGCTACTTTTATGTAGTTTAATATAGTATATAATAATAAAATGATGAAAATTACCCTAGCTGATCTTATTGTGACGGCGTATTTGATCCTCTGAGAAATGTAGCACCATCTTGTTTTTTTTTTGTTTCATACCACTATTTATTTTGTTCCAGACCCGCATTTCAATTGTCAGAGAAACTGATTAAGGAACACATGAGAACTATTTCGTATTTTTCTAAATAGGGTAGGGTGCCCTAACTTTGCGCAGGAGGTAAGATTGCGCAGCTCCCATATTTCGAAATCAAAATGACATTGTCGACTAACTTCTCTCGTGTTCTGGGCCGTTGCTGTGAGTGAGTGCGCTGTAGAAAAAACAAACCAAAAACCTATCAAAACCTAGTCGCAAGGTAAGTTTGAAGTTAAATATCGATTCTGATGTTATTGTTTCTCAATTTCAAACTGTAATTACATGAAAACCTGAAGTACTATCAAATATTTGACCAGTGTTTTCGTTTGCGTGATTTAACCTATACAGCCGGCGAGCGATATAATTTTTGATATTTTCAATAGATGGCGTTAGGAGTCACATAATTGTATATTGGGCTATTCCCTAAGACTGCGCAGAGTCACGGTCCGTAACACTACGCGCGCAGACTTACCCTACCATAACTTTTAATTTGATATAACAACCTTAAATATTCATTTTCAGAATGCCTAATCAAAGAAAAATGTCGTCGGAACGTTCGCTGTGCCCTCAATATGTTTTAGAGGAAGCTAGAAGACGAATAGAAAATGGTGAAAGCAAAAGAAAAGTAGCATCGTCGTACGGGATGAAAGAAAGTACTTTGCGGTATCGCCTGAAGAGAAAAGAAGCTGCAAAAAAGCTTGGTAGATATGATGCAACTCTTTCTCCCGAAATTGAACAGGAATTTTGTAATTATTTGGAAGATCTTGACAATATGTTTCAAGGGATGACTCCTAAGAATTTGAGGATTGCTGCTTACGAATTTGTGGTGAAAAATAATATTCCTCATCGTTTCAATGCCGAAAAGAAAATGGCAGGCAAACACTGGCTTCGTGGATTTCTCAGTCGGCACCCAGATCTTTCACTAAGACGTCCAACTTCCACAAGTATTGCTAGGGCGATGGGATTTAATAAGCCACAATGTGAAAGGTTCTACAAAAATCTAGCAGAATTGATGGACAAGTATAAGTTTCCTCCAACTTCCATTTATAATATGGATGAAACTGGTCTGTCTACCGTACCCAACAATCCTCCAAGGGTCATATCAAAAAAAGGAAAGCGCGCTGTTAATAAGATTTCTAGCGCTGAAAGAGGAACGAACGTAACCGTAGTGAATGCTATGAGTGCATCTGGACACTTCATTCCTCCCGCTTTCATATTCGGTCGCAAAAGGATGAAAGCAGAATTGCTGGATGGCGCACCACCAGCGTCTATTGGAATGGTCTCAGACACAAGTTATATTAATAGTGAACTTTTTTTAAACTGGCTAGGTCACTTTAAAGATCACACAAGACCAACTAAAGAACACCCTATCCTTCTGGTTCTTGACAATCATGTGTCGCATTGTACAATAAGGGCTGTAGACTTTTGTCGAGCGAATAACATAATAGCTCTAACCATACCTCCACACAGCAGCCACAAGATGCAACCACTAGACAAAGGTTTTCATAGTGCGTTGAAGACTTATTTTGCGAGCGAATGTGAAAAATGGATGAGAAACCACCCTGGCAGAGCTATAACTGCTTTTCAGATGACGTCTTTATTCGCTCCAGCGTTTAATAAAGCAGCTACAGTTGGTTGTGCTGCTGAATGTTTCAAGGTGTCCGGAATCTACCCATACAATCCAGATATCTTCACAGATGCAGATTTTCTTCCTAGTGCTGTGACCGAAAGAGAAATGGATGATAACCAATGTTCAGAATCACAACAGGAGAATCCTCAAGAAGCAACACCCCATGAACAGAGAGAACCAGTTATGGATAATGAGCCTCGTGCTTCTGTTTTCAACAAGGAGCCAAAAAAACCATCAACTCCAAGGAACGCTTTTACAGCAATTGAGAATGTTTCTCTAGTAACAGAAGCTCCAGCCGAACCAGTTCTGAGTTCTGAGTCAGGGCAAAAGAAAAACTTCGACGGTCCTCCAGCTGAAAAAAATGGTGGTATCTTCCAAGTTCCTGCACAGGTACCATCTTGCAGCAATGAATCGGCCGCAATCAAAGTGAAACTCCAAGATATTTGCCCTATACCAAAATGAGGTATAAGAAAGACCGCAAACAAGCGAAAACATAAGAAATCTGAAATACTTAGTGGTTCTTCATATAAAGAACAGCTATTAGTAGAGAATCAGTTGAAGAAAACTCCTGAGAAAAAAATGAAAAAAGTTTGCAGAAAGCCTTCTAAATATCCTAAAAAAAAGAAATGGGCATGCGGTGGCTGCAATGAGGAGTATAAAGAGCCGATTACAGAGGATTGGATCGGTTGTTCTGTTTGTTCTGAATGGTGGCATGAGAAATGTACGGCCTACTATACGTAGGCATTGGACAGTTTAAGTGCGATTTATAGATACCTTATTCTGTTTTAGTTCCTACTTTTAAGTTTTTGTTATCTATGCGCAATCTTAACGATCTGAATGCGCAATATCCAGGGACCCGTAGTGGTAAGACTGCGCATTTACATCTTTGTCTTTTTTTTTAATTACTAACAAAATTGTTATCAGATGTTTGAATAAAACTTAAATTAACAAAGTACATTAATGTGAGCCTAAATAGAAATTAAGATTATTACAATAGGTTATTGATTCACGATTCTACGGCTTATCAAACCTTAAGTGCGCAGACTTGGGGCACCCTACCCTAATTGTGTTTTAAATAAGCTGGTCATGGTAGTAGAAACGTCAGTAAAGTCATTTACCAGACATCTGAGGTTCTATTTAAAGTATGTTTACCCTTAAGCAAGTTGCAAGCATATGTTGCGCAGCTTGTCCAAGTGGAAACGCACCTTGTGGGGCACATGTGCCGGGAGCATGCTCAGTTCCTCAGAAATATGAACAGTCTGCAGCGCGCTGCAGCACATGCAGCACACGTCGCCGCATGTTTGTCGTCAGTGCTTGAGCCGCAACATGTTGCAGAACGTTTCTTGCGGGCGTATATGCTGCTACACACTGGCATCGCCATAGTTTTCACTAGGTTACCTTCGTTTCAAGATGGGGCAGAAAACGCCAATTTTTGACTTTGTCCTTTATTGTAATAAAAACCCTTACTCTGATCCCTTGGGATAAGCATACATCCTTGTTTCGATGCACGCATAGTCAAACACCACCTGTTAACTTTCTAACTTGGGCCTTACATCAAATAGTCATAATAAATGTATTCAAACATGATTTTTTATTTGTACAGGGTGTGGCAGAAAGGATGGACGGTTTTAAAAACATCATAAAATAGTTAATTTTTACTCGAAAACAAATTTATTGATGGAATCAGGTTCACAAGGAAATAGCATTTGAGTCAGTCAAGTGTAGAAAATCACATCAGGCATGTGGTGGCCGAAATCGTTGATGCAGTACAGGGGGCGTTCTTGGAAGTTCGCGTAGACTCTCTCCAATATCGCTCTCTCAACTTGGGCGACTTCCACGCGAATTTCGCGCTGCAATTCGTCCAGAGTTCGGGGCTTGTTCGCGTATACTCTAGCCTTGAGGTGTCCCCATAAGAAAAAATCGCATATGGATAAATCTGGGGACCGAGGAGGCCAATGAACATCGCCAAACCTGGAAATAAGGCGACTAGGGAAGAGAGGGCGAATAACGTCCATGGATGCTCGGGCTGTGTGGGCGGTCGCCCCATTCTGCTGGAACCACACACGTCGGATTGGAACACGTCGCCGTCGTAATTCAGGGAGAAAGAAGTTGGTGATCATGTCCACGTAGCGCTCTGAGTTCACGGTAACATCACGACTATTACCGTTTTCGAAGAAGTAAGAGCCAATGACGCAAGTTTGCGATACAGCCCAACGAAGGATGGTGTTTCGAGAGAGAACAGCTCTATTCCGATGAATGTTGAAGTGGCGACGAAACTTACGCTGTACGACGATGAATGACTCATTATTTCGGACGAAACAATCATAGACGAAAACGCGGTGCTCCACCGTCCAAGGCTCCATAACGACAACTGGTAAAATAATGCTAGGATCTCACGAGTCAAACGGCATCCTCCCCACCTCTCTCGTAGACGGAGGCGGAGAGTACCACCCATCCCAAAAACGTCCGTCCTCTCTGCCGCACCCTGTACTTCGATCCTATTCTGGAAATATGTGAACTTGCCCAGATAGATCGGAGCTTACCTAGAAAAGAGCCGATTGTTTTCTGCAAAGTGAATGGGCGACTGGCATCAAGAGCAAATAAGTGAAAATAGGTATAAAATTGTCAACAGCCTTTTTATCGTACAAAAATACTAATACTGCAGCTGTCAGGTTGAAGAAGGAATAAAGAAACAGAAACAGCGAAATAAGGAATAAAACTAGAAAATGAATGAATTGTTTTGTATCACAGGTAAGATATATTTTGATATTTTGAATAAGAATTTTTGTAGATGTGCTTACTCGGTAAAGGCTTAGTATACTCATGAAAACGTTTGAGTGGATTTTAAGTTCTGCCAAATTACGAAATTGAGATATACTGATTTTATTTTTGTTTTGGATGTTATATGACATGTACTTAATGAAAAACCATGTTACCCATTTCCGTCGGTTTGTCTGTCTGTCCGCTAATCATTGGCCCCTGTATAACTCTCTACTGCTATGCCAAAAACGGGAACCATTGTAAGCTTAGAAAATCGATCCAGTGGCGGCGGAGCTATGGACAATAAACGAAAATAATAAAAATCGATCGTTTCAGTGTCTCCTGCTCATTTTCCAAAAAAAACTTTTTGAGCAAGTATTGTAACGTGTCCTAATCCACTTGCAATGAGGCTACATTTGGTTTGTATTTTTTTTTTTTTGTTTTTTTGTATGAAATTACGGCGAGCTAGGTCTGGCGAACACGGTGGCTAGTCTACAATCCATAGCCTACTTGGTGTGAGACAGCAAATCAGTTTGACATATTAACCATTTTTTTTAGCATCATATCACTTGTTCCACTTGTGTGAACTCACACAAGCAAACTTAGGCGCCAGGAGACAGATTTTTTATGTAATTGTAAGGGAGGTCAAGTCAAGTCCAGGGATTGAATATCTTAGTGCATTCGCTGTGATTCAAATAGTGGTTCCTGTGTTAGGGATTAGGATTCAAGAAACTGAAATAATATTGTCAATCATTTGCAATTTAATATAAACAGTATTTCCAACTATATCAAGATATGAACACTTCAAGGCAAATCCAGATATTTGGCGTTGAAATTATTTACTTGTGGCACTCGAATTCCGAAGCATCATTCGGCACACAGCTTACTACCTACCTCGGAAGAGGTCGATTCCGCTATTTCATTCTTGTACAACAAATTTTCCAACGCACTCAAAAATGGATACACATATACCTGGTAATTTCAATTTTTTATTGCCCAAAATCCCGCAACATAACATCTAGGATAGATTTGGCTGCGAATACGCATCACCAATTGCGGAAAACTTTACGTTCAAATACCTTCTTGACCATTCTCAAATTTTGAGTTTAGGAGGTCAAGGTCAAGGTCAAGGTCATACTTAGATAGGGTGATGTAACTTGAAAATCAGTAGTCGTATACGGTTCAATTAAAGACTGACCTTGAAAATCATGGCCAGGGTCACCAATGAGGAAAATAATGTCTCGGAAGATCTTATTACATACAGCATGCGGATTTTCTACTGCACAGACATGATTGTTGTGGAAAGTGTGCACTCAATCTCGTGTAAATGTGGCTTCATCTGTATACAAAATTAATTTCGTAAGATCTTCATTTCTGCCGACGTGTTCTGAAAGCCACTGGCATAATGCAAC